TATAACATTTTATAGTTTCATAACATCAGTTTCTTAATGTTTTCTTGATGATTTCTTGTTGATTTCTTCATTATTGCTTTTCTTCTTCTTGCTGTTTTCATCATCATTATTCTATTTAATGCATTCATTAATTATTTTAGCCCTTATTCGAGTTCACTTTTCTATATTAAATCTTTTTTGGTTGAAATTATTTTGAAAACTATTCAATTTTTTCAATATTTTAATATTGCCAATTAATCAATATATGAAAAAAAAAACTTTTTAATTCGCATAATGAAACATGAAAGAAAAATATCATTTAACGCTCTCTGCCATAAATTGAGCAAACTGCTAGAAGAATTCTTCATAGAAATAATTCCATTTAGTAATCTGAATTCAAAAAACTAAGGCTTTCAAAGAAATACCAGAAAGCAAGGATTGTCTAGTGTAATCAAAATCAAAATTTGCTTGATCACAAGTGGCAAAATGTAATATTCTTTGATAAAATGAATGTTGAGGTAGATATGTGATAATGTTATGTTATATGTCAATCACCTGAAAAGAGATTTGATCCAAGTTGTACATTAAAATGAACCAAGAAAGGTAGGCCAATAAAGACATTTGGGCTTGCATAAATTATCTAGGATGTTATCAATTTTTTCAAAGGTCGACTTAATTTAGATAGATACATTGAAATTTTAGATAATTGTCTTCTTCCTAATCAATATATTTAAAGAAGAAAACAAAAATACTATATATCAATAAGATGGTGTGCCGATTACTGCAAAAATATGTAAGCAATGGTTCGAAGACCACTGAATTTCAATGATGTTTTGGCCTGCTAACAACCCTGATTTAAATTCAATTGTAAATTCAATTTTATACATTATTTGAAATATATTCTTAACTTTTGGCCAATCATTTTTTTTTTTATTTAAATTAACATCTTTTATTATTTTTACATTTTTTGCCATCAAAATTATTGTGTTTATATGTATATTTTTTGATTTCAATGTTGTATACATATTTTACCTGATATTTTTAATTTTATTTTAATAATGTTAAAAAAAACAAAAAATAAATAAATACATTTTAGTTTTAAATTCATTTTATTTTGAAATAATGTTTTATAAAAGTGATCTCTAATTTATGGTGTATAAGTAGATATCTAAGAATATATTGTTAAGCCGCTAAAACATTCTAACAGTTAGTTTAGGATCGTTTAATTTTAAATAAACTTACTACTATAAAAATAAGATTTAAATTTTGTTTGCAACGACAATTATTTATAAGGGATATTACTTTTAAAATTATTTAATTAAGGGACATTATTTAATAACTTTTAAAATTATTTAATAACTTTTGTGGAAGGATTTAATTTTAATACTTTTTTCTATAGTTCTTGAAGGGATCCTCAAGTACTGAGAAAAGTTTTGTACATATTAAAGAAAATGTTTGAAAAAATTGTTTGGGCTAAATTTTTTTGAATCATATAATAAATAATCATAAAATAAAGCAATAAAATATGTCCTTTTAGTCAAAGCCTTCATTTTTTCTTGGTCTTTATAATATATGCTGCAAACTGCAGATTTGATAATTACAGTCCCAGTAACTACAGACATCATTTGCAGAATTTTTTTTAAGATGTAGTATTTTTCTGCTATAATCACCAAATCGTGTTTAATTGTATAATTTTTTACAAAATCTCAAAAAAATTTTGTGATACAATTAAAAATAATATATTTGTTTTGAGATTTCAGTTGCGCAACTTGTTTTTAACAATTGTAAGTATAAATCTTTATCTAGATTTATATATTAAAACCTACTTTCACATCTTAACGAATATTCTTTGTCCTTATAATAATATATTATATCAAACTTTTTTTGTAAAATTTGTATTATTTTATCTGCTTGAAGTTTTTCAAGTGACAAATTTGCATTATGGGTGAATACAGAAAAAAAATTATTCATGTAAAATTCATTGATAAGAACTTTTATTTTTTAATTATTAATTTTAATTATTATTATTAAATATATCGCTATTTAAGTCAGTCGGTATTTAATATACATTCAACTGCGACTAACTAAATAAACTATAATTAACAACAATATAATGTAATGTAACAACAAATAAAAAACATTATTAGTTAAAAAAACATAAAACTGTTTTAAAAAAACGTTTAAAATTAAATAAAATAGTTCCTAATGGAGGATTCAAACCTCTACTTAGCCGCGCCTCAAATCAGAGCAGTTGAACATCCACTGCACTAAACTTATATATGGCTTAATAAGAAAATTTAATGTATTTATACATATTTCATATGATCAACAAATAAATCTTGTTTAAAAAAAAAAACAAATATATAAATTAAAATATTTTTATAAATTTACTTATTTTTATAAAATATCTTTTATAAAATTTTCTTCTTTTTTTTATAAAATACCTTTTGTAAAAGGTTGGGCAGCGATCATTTTAATATTTGTAGAAAAGAAAAAAAAGATACAACCATATGATGACTCAAACTAAGAAGTTAGAGTTAGGGATTGCAATCTCACAATTCCGCAGGATCCCATGTTGTTTCAAAGCATACAAGATCCTGCATTAATTAATACGGGATCCGCATGATTTGTGGGATTGAAATTACGCAATAAAATTCATTTTAAAAAAATAGACACAAAATAATCAGAGGTTAAGTACCTCTGATTATTTTGTGTCTATTTTGTGTCTAGAGTATTTGAAAAAATGTTTGATCTGCTAGCATGTAACTGCAAGCTTGAAGCTCTTCCCTGTGATGACAAGAATATCAAATGCTCAGGTTGTTTAAATGTGCATATTTACTGTAATTGTATTGGTAGTAAAAAAGTAAGCTATACTTCACAACCTCTTCCCTTTTTATCACTATCTAAATTAATTTAAAAATAAATCGTTTATTAATTGAAAAAAAAAAGTCATTTAAAATTGCTGAGTAAATTAAAGATTTTCCTTCCTACAAAGGCTCTCCAGATTTATCAATGATTGTTCCAATTGATTGAACACAAATAATTGTTCCAATATTAACAACATCAATCCTAATTTTACAGCAACACACAAATGATTGTTCCAATATTAACAACATCAATCCTAATTTTACAGCAACACACAAATGATTGTTCCAATAGTAACAACATCAATCCTAATTTTACAGCAACACACAAATGATTGTTCCAATAGTAACAACATCAATCCTAATTTTACAGCAACACACAAATGATTGTTCTAATATTAACAACATCAATCCTAATTTTACAGCAACACACAAATGATTGTTCCAATATTAACAACATCAATCCTAATTTTACAGCAACACACAAATGATAGTTCCAATAGTAACAACATCAATCCTAATTTTACAGCAACACACAAATGATTGTTCCAATATTAACAACATCAATCCTAATTTTACAGCAACACACAAATGATAGTTCCAATAGTAACAACATCAATCTTAATTTTACAGCAACACACAAAGCCAAACTAAGTTCATTTGACAGAAGAGCAAAAGATATAATTGGTAGCCATCACAATCTTAAGGAAATTGAGAAAATGATCAAGAGACTCATACTTATTTGTAGAAATATATTAGACAAGGAACTGTATATCCTGTATAAATATCATTTTAATAAATAATAAATAAATCCTAAAAGTTGACAAACCAAACATATTGTTTAATTTTAAATTATATTACAAATATTTTTAGAAATTTAGTGAAAAGTTACACAAATAAATATAATTTGCTGATTGTTGCAGAAAAAAATAATACAATATCTTGAGAGAAAAAATTTTACGATGGTGTCATACTGAAACTGTTATGAATTAAGCATGTCTAACATAAATTATAAAGTCTGCAGATTTCGGTGTATATTATAAAGACTCTGAGAACCAAGATAAAATGAAGAAGGTGAGCTTTGCCTAATACGACAAATTTAGTTTTATTGATATGCATTTATTATACATATTAGTATACATATATATATATATATATATATATATATATATATATATATATATATATATATATATATATATATATATATATATATATATATATATATATATATATATATATATATATACTAGGATGACAAACCCCTGGGATTAGATTTAGACCAGTACAGGGTTTAATAAAATAAAGCTAGATCCATGTTTGGAACCAGGATTTATTTAATGTTGAATTATAATTATAATGAACCAAAATTCATTGTAATTATAATTCATTCAAATTAATGAAGAGAAAAATTTAAAAAAAGTTTTATCAAAAAAAAAATTAACTTATTTCATATGAAATGATCTTTATATATAGCTGTGTATAATTTTTTTTTTTAAATGAAACTTATATTCAAATTTATATATAGCTTCTAGTAAATAGATTTTTTAAAGAATTGTTTATTAGAGTTTTACTTTTACCAGTTCTATCACACAACCAAATTAAAAATTTATCAACAAACAACCTTATCACCTTATTTTCAAATTTCTGTTATCATATGTTAAAATTCAGAACAAGTTCTTTAGAAAAAATTATTTAAAAAAAATAAATTTCTGTTTAATAAAGAATAGTTTTGCAGAAAAAAAAGAAGAAGATATTTCAAAAACTATACTAAAACTCAAACAGTCAAAATGAAAATAATTGTTTAATCAATGTAGTATTTATATTTTAATTCTAATTAATTAAGTTATAAACATGATTTATAAATTTGAATTATAAAATTGAGTTATAAATTAATACTGCCAATACTTGGACATTAACAAACAATTCATTTATGTTAAAATATGTTTCTTAGAAAGTTTTAAACTTTCAAAGGCATGGTGATAAGGCCAACATTACATAACCATAGTAAAAAATAACATCTTTTAAACTTTTAAATACATGTTACTGTTTTTATAAGGTAAACATAATTTGAGGAAATTTTTAAAAAAACTTTAAAACTTGAAGTTAATCATTATTACATTAGTTTTATAAAAATTATGTAATAAAATAAAAAACCTGAATTGCTGCATTTCCTTTTGTAAGTAAAATCAACAAAGTGAGTCCCTAAAATATAACTTACTACATTTAAAACAATTTTATGTTATATTGTTGTTATATTAAAGATACAATCTCTTTATACAAATATTTGTTTACTTGTTATTTGAAAAAAATATTTATTTTAACTATATAAATGTCAATTATTTCTATTTTATCAGTATTTAATTAGTGTTTGATAATCAGTGTTAATCAGCGTTTAATTATGTCTAACAATATTATTTAATAACTTGTTGAATAACAATATGTATAATAAACTTAATAAATATAGCAATAAAATAAGTCAAAAAAGTTACTTACATCATTTCTTATAACTTCTCTACTGTCAGATAAAAGATCCATTAACCTGGACACACCAAGCGGACTAACCAAGACACATTGCTGTATCTGAATAGTTCGGTTGTTCAAAAGAGCTATTAGAAGACGAACAGTAGCCCATCGTATACGAAACTCATACTCCTAAAAAACAATAAATATATATATATATATATATATTTATATATATATTTATATATATATATATATATATATATATATATATATATATATATATATATATATATATATATATATATATATATATATATACACACACACATAACCCCAAATATAATTTCAAAACAATATAATATACTAAAATTAACTAAAAATTTAAACTTAACTATTGAAGATTTAAATTTTTAAATTTCAAACCTCTACTGATTCATTATCAATATGAAAATGATAAAATTTATGATAAAAACTTATTTTATTTTACCTCAAGCAAACCAAGCAAACAAGTAACATTATCAGAATCTTTAAGAAAAATCTCTGTAAACTGCACAGGTAGGTCGTTATTGAGCACTTCACTTTGCTCATCGACATCATTGGACATAATGGTAACAAGAGCCTCTAAAGCTAACCCACATATTTCTGAATCAGTTCTGAAAATATAATAATAGATGTTGTTACTTTTAAATAATAATTTAATGCTTGCTACTTTGACTACCAGTATTTTCTTTTTCATTTCAAGAAACTTTTTCATTGTTTTTATCTTTCTTTTTTTTTAAGGAGTTGATGATTGGAAATAGTAGAGAGAGGGGGTAGGGGTTGGATTTTAACCCTCTCTCAACAGCTAGCTTTGCTTTTCATTAACCTATTTATGTTAACTGAATTATTTTGTTTTAAATACTTTAATTAGCAGAATTGAATATAAATCTAAATCTGTGCCTATGGAGACTGTTACTAAGCAACTACTATAAACCAATATAAAATATAAATCTGTGTAAAGTGTAAACTTGAATCAAATATAAATCATTTTCCAAATATGTAATCAAAAGCAAAAGTAATCATATATTAATCAATCATGTAATGCCAGCCATCTAAGTATCACTTTGTAATGTTTTAATCTTAAAAAAATAAGTATTAAGAATTTTTATAAAGAGTTTTTAAAAACAAAATAATAAAAAAACATTGATAAAACATTCAAATTTTATTTAAAAGTTTTTCATCAATTATTGAATATACACTTTGTATCAACCATTAAATGTAAACTATGTATCAACCATTGAATGTACACCCATGTAATGTAATCTTATTATTTTCAACCATTATTATTATAAACTTAAGTTATAATTAGTCTAGCAATTAAAATTTGATTAAAAAATATTAGTTTAAATTTATTAATACTTTAAAATGATCATGCAAATAAGTATAAAAAACCAATTGAGTTAAAAAATAATAATTATCAATGAACTTTTCTGCTGAACACTTAATTTTATATTATTGTGTCATCATTATTTGTCTGGATCAATTGTTTCAATTTAAAAGTTTTACTTTAAGACCATTGTGGTCATATAGAGGATTTACTTTAAGACCACTGTGGTCATATAGAGGATTTACTTTAAGACCACTGTGGTCATATAGAGGATTTACTTTAAGACCACTGTGGTCATATAGAGGATTTACTTTAAGACCACTGTGGTCATATAGAGGATTTACTTTAAGACCACTGTGGTCATATAGAGGATTTACTTTAAGACCACTGTGGTCATATAGAGGATTTACTTTAAGACCACTGTGGTCATATAGAGGATTTACTTTAAGACCACTGTGGTCATATAGAGGATTTACTTTAAGACCACTGTGGTCATATAGAGGATTTACTTTAAGACCACTGTGGTCATATAGAGGATTTTGTTGTATAACATTTTAATTCTAGAATTTAAATTTTTTTAATTCATTAACTTCTAAAAGCAGTGATCCATATTGACAACAAAATTCTATTTGCTTCTTTTTGGGAGATTCATTTTTTTTTTGGTATGTCCTATATTTTTTGAGAATCAGAGAAATTTCATAATCACAACCACAACAACCACAACCAAAGTCATCTTTGAGAAAAACATAGAGAAACAACTGTTTTTGTCCTTTAGCTACACTTTTCATTTAAATGTTTTGTTTTTTCAAGGGTCAACAAAATTGGAGGGGGGGGAATGGTTTAAGGAGGCACTCAAGTCTCTGGTATACAGTTATAATTATTTCATCTTAGATGCAATTGGTTCAATATAATATTCTTTACATATGAATTATACAGAATATCTCCAAAACAACTTTTGACAACTGAAAAATATGTTAAAATATGTTTATTTTGACATTTTTTATTATTCATTAGATATTTTATTAAAAAAAATATCCCTGACCTGGTACGAATGCTTTTAGGATGTTGAGACATAAGAATCTAAGAATGGTATAGGTACAATCAATATTAAATGACCAACAGAGTTAAGAACTTTGTTGCAGTTTGGTCCATTGTAGCCATGTCTGCCTCTGCCATGCCTGGTGATACCAATTGAACCTTTTAAGTTTATTTAAGTTTTTTCTTTTATAACATTGTTTTTCATTAAAACGTGACAGATTTGAATAATAATATGTTCAAAGAGCTCTGGAGGATGAATTACATCAATTAGGGGTCATCCATAAATTGTCATACAACTTATGAACCCATTCCCTACCCTCTTTCTCCCTCCTCCCCACCCCTATAATAAACTGTTTGTATAATATAATAAATTGGCCCCTGCTCTATTGGCCCCTATTCTCTCCTTCCCCCCTCCTCACAAAAAAAATTAATAAATTCTGCAACAAACTTTTAACCCCATCTTCCTCCCTTTTTAAAACTTTTTTTCTCATTTACATAATAAAATCTCAAATCCGGCCTTGTATGGAATACTGTTGCCATATCTGGGGCGGATCTTCTAATGATGCCCTTTCTCTTTTCGACAAGGTGCAAAAACGCATTGTAAACATAGTTGGACCTGCTCTTGCAGCCAACCTTCAACCTCTGTCACATCGTCGTAATGTTGCTTCTCTTTCTCTTTTCTACAAATACTATAATGGGCACTGCTCTATAGAGCTAGCGTCTCTTGTACCATCTACTTAAATTCATTTTTGTGTTACTCGTCTTTCAATTAAGTCTCATCCTTTTTCTGTTACTGTTCCTAAGTGCTCCAAAAACTCTTATTCGTCTAGTTTTTTTCCTCGAACATCAGTTCTTTGGAATTCGCTTCCTTCATCTTGCTTTCCTGATTCATACAATTTGCAATCTTTTAAGTCGTCTGTCAATCGTTATCTTGCTCTACAATCTTCATCTTTTCTCTTCCAGTAACTTCCAACACTAATTAGTGGTTGCTTGCAGCCTTGTTGGAAGCGAAGATAATTAAAAAAAGTTATGATTTATTTATTTATTTTTTTTTTGCACTCAACAAAAACTGTATAAAGATATATAAAACTGTATAAAGATATATAAAACTGTATAAAGATATATAAAACTGTATAAAGATATATAAAACTGTATAAAGATATATAAAACTGTATAAAGATATATAAAACTGTATAAAGATATATAAAACTGTATAAAGATATATAAAAGTATAAGTATAAAGATATATAAAATTGTATAAAGATATATAAAATTGTATAAAGATATGTAAAATTGTCTCTATAAAATTGTTAATCTTTTTTGCTTCATTTAGCGAGAAACCATAAATTTGTAGACATTGAGCTGAAAGAGTTGGAAATGAAGAAATTAAGTGAAAAAAAGCATACGGATATAAAGAGAAAAGTAGTGTATGAAGGAGTGCCCACTCTACTCTCACCCTAGAAAGAACACAAACTTTGAATAAACTTGAATATGATGGTAAACATCATAAATTACTTTTAAAGATACGCGAATTAGTGAGAAAAATTTCTGGCAAAAGGCAGAAAACCTTATGTGGCATTGGATTGTCAACAAATATGGTATGACTGTGAGCAGCAACTTTTGCACAAGATGGAACACCACTTACTTTGTGATTCAGAGACTTCTGAAAATAAAGATATATATTGAAGAAGTGTTTGGTGACCTTAACATTGATTCACTTCCCAATAGCGAATAGATGAAACTTCAGGATTTTACCAATCTTTTAGAACCTTTTGCTAATGAAACTGTAAATCTCATTATAAATGCATTTTCTCTATCCAGTGTTATACCTTCCATACTTAATTTAAAATGCCACCTTGAGCAATTTGAAGATGCTAAAGATGTAGCAATTAAAATGCCTGGATATCTACGCCGTTGGTTTGCAGTACTTTTGCAGCCAAATGATTCTAATTTTAATTCAATACCAAGTGTTGCTGTTTCTTTGACCATACGAATGCAATAGCTCTGTAAGATACTGAGCATACACAAATCAGAGAATATGCAAAAACAGACAATTTGTCAGAGGCCAAAAAATCTGTGCAAAATGAATTGCATCTGCTGTTTCTCCTGAGATTGCTCCAGCCATGAATGCATTAACAAAATGGAAATTTTTAGCGACAAAACAGTAAATAAACCTTATTCCAGTTAATGAAGCAATGAACTCAAAAATGAACTCAACAAATATTATAACAAAATTTATAACAAAATTACGGCTGTTTCAATCAATATAAAAGCGAGTTTGATGTCACAAAAATTTTTGTGTTTAAAAAAAAAAAAGAATTTCCGTATAAAAAGTATAAATTCACTAACTTTGAAATAATAGTATTTTTTTTCTATAAACGCTTTAATCTTCGAATTAAAAAAATATAAAAGAACTATCTTTCTTCATTTAATAAATATTTACATAAAACGAAATAAAAATAAACATTGTTAAAATATTTTAAATGATTTTGGATCATTTTTCTATTTTTTGCGTATTTTACGGAAAACCTGTCTTGGGCTAATCAAGATTTGATATTTTAAGCTACATGCTTAATAATTGAAATTTTACATACTTGTAAATGAATGTCAATTTTATCAGATTTTTGGAGGGCATAGATAAAAAAAATAGTTTAAGTTAGTTTTTTGAGCATTATTATTTTTGTTTTTACTTTTTTTATATGAAAAACGTTCAATTTTTGTTATGCCCTCCAAATTATTGAAATTTTAACCCTCTATGCACATGAAAATCAAAAAAATACTTTCTGTACTTCTAACTAAAACATCTTCAACCTTGGCAAATTTTGTTGTTTTTAGCTAAAATTTGTAGTTACATGCGTAAAATTTTTGTTTATATTTTAAAGCAATGACGTAACTTTAAATGCGTTATTTCCCAATTCACTATGTAATTAAATTTATTAAAACAGCTTTTTTAGCAAGACAAATTTTAGTGTATAAATAAAAAAAACTTTGGCGGTTTTTTTTCTTTCGTGGCTTATCTACAAACAGATAAGTTGTTTAATCCTCTGATATCTATTGCATACTTGTTATTTGTCAATAATTATTATTTGATTTTATTTGTTTGTATTATATTTGTATTGAGAAGTTTATTTATCACTATGCATTCTAGTGAAAGAGAGATATTTTTAGGGAGAAATTTTTAGGTTAAATATTCTAAAATGTAAATCTGTTTTTATTTAATGGAATCAATTTTTAAAAACTAGTCATTTAACAGTTTATCGACATTTTCGTAATTTTAACAACATTTTGCGAAAATTCGATTTGCTTTACTGGCATAAAATAACGTCTGTATTAGTTAACCTTAAACATTTAAGTAAGATTTTTTTGTTTTTATAATAGTCCAACAATGTGTACATTTAATAATAAATATCGAAAATATATTCTTTCTGAGTTTTTTTTGATAAAAAGTAACATCAAATTACTAATATTTAGCCAAGTTCAACATTTGCCACGTTTATTCTAAAATTAAAGAAGTTTTTTAATATATCTGTGAAACATCATCAAATAAAACATTTTATTGGTGTTTTTATTCTTTTTACAGAACAAAATTATCTCTAATGTTTCAAAAGTTATAAAAGTTTTAGTAACACCCCTTACGTGAATATTTTCAAAAAATAACAAGAAGCCGTAAAGCTCGGTTGAAACAGCTATGAAATATTCATCTGAATAAAACGACATGTAAAAATCTTATCATAACAGATAAGTAAAATTTTTTTGAATATTCTTTACCTGTCATTATGGAGAACTTTTATTAACACATTCATAGCGCTTGTACCAACTTCTACACGAAATTTCTATAAAAATACTACACATATATATACATATATATATACACATATATATATATATAAATATATATATATATATATATATATATATATATATATATATATATATATATATATATATATATATATATATATATATATATATATATCAACCCTCGGAATTTGGAAAAATGAGGTTGGCAATAATTTGCAGACCTCAATCTTTCTGAGGTTGGCATCAGGTCAGCAAAAATTATTTGATACAAAGGTCTAACCATAAAACATAGAAACGAGGTTGGCAAATTTTTGCAGACCTCTAACACTTTCAGGTCGCCAGTTAGGTTAGCATTGCCGAATTGCCGACCCAAATTCTGAGGGTTGATATATATATATATATATATATATATATATATATATATATATATATATATATATATATATAAAGTTTATGTATTATATATACATATATATATACCTATAGTAAAGGGCTTAGATATACAATTTGTGGTAAAAAATGGCTCTCAGCTTGTTTGTGGTATTAAAGCTGACAAAATTAAGGATACATTATGTCAAAAGGCATTAATTTAATTGCAGGAAGTAATTAAATTTAGAAAACCACAAAAAAAAAAAAAAAAAATTAAAAAACTAGAATGCTTTTAAAAACATTTTGAATGCTTTTAAAAACATTCTGAATGTTTTTATTTTATTTTTTAAAAATGAAAACATTTTGAATGTTTTAATTTTTTATTTTTAAACTGTAAAACATTTGCGAAGTATTGCTACATCAACTATCTTATAGCCTGACTCTCAGATTATGCAGAAAACATTAAATGTAATTAATTGTCGTAAATAACATTAGTGGAATAAAAACAGATAGATATCCTCTTTCTATTTTCATTTTTGAAAAAAAATACATTTTTAATTTATTTTAATAAATTTAAATTAATTTTATTAAAAAAATTTAATAAATTTAATTCAAGTTACTTTAAAATGTTCGCATTACATATAACTTCATTTTAATTTCAGTTAAGTTTCAAATACTAGTCTGAATAATGTGCTTTTATAAATTTATAAATGACGTCAATACAAAAAAGATTTTTCTAACTCAAGTTTAAATGTTATGTTTGGGTTTTCTTTTTTCCGTTAAATTTTATATAAAAGAATTTTTTTATAAAACGAAGTAAACTTTCAACTGATTAAAAAGAACGTGATCAATAAATAAACTATTTAAAAGCCTAACTTATATTTATTTTATTAAAAAAAATAATTAATACTTTTGCTATAAATATAAGATAGGTAAATTTCAAAATTATACTGATATTTGTTAAAAACAAGTTCTGGTAATAACATCTTAAAACCGAAAAAACTATTTTTTTTTGGAAGAAATAGTAAAAACACATTAGGTTTCACGGTACATAAAAATAAAATATTTTAATAGAAATGAAAAAAAAACAAAGACAAAAAGCAGTAATCTTCATTTAAATACTATTTTTATTTTATTGAAAGCCAGTTAGCGCAAAGGTTTTTTTAAAAAAGAGAAAACCCATTCTAATTGTGTACACTTAAATCCATTTAAGAAAATCAACCATAAACAAGTGTCCTTTCATTTTAAATAAATAACTATAAAAATAAATTTTTAAAGAAAAAAAATTAAGTTTAAATAAGTATAAGATTTTAAAATAAGGAAATTTTTTTTAATCAACATTTAAATTTAATTTATAACTTTTTTTTATCACAATATTGTTTAATTTAAAGATATAATTTTAAATTAAAATTTTTTAAACATTTTAAAGACTTACAATAATTTCTGATGTTTTTGAATTTGATTACAATGAGGTATTTTAAAATAAATAACTGGCACAATTAAATTTTTAACGATGTAAATATCTTTACTTAATATAGTTACATATATTCACGTTGCGCTTTTCCGTTATGAAACAATATATATATATATATATATATATATATATATATATATATATATATATATATATATATATATATATATATATATATATATACATATATATATATATATATATATATATATATATATATATATATATATATATATATATATATATATATATATATATATATATATACATATATATATATATATATACATATAGATATATATATATATATATAGATATATATATATATATATATATATATATCAGGGTCTATTCTAGGAGAAAATTTTTTGCAACAATACCCCTTTATTCCAGCGAACTTTAGGAGAAAATTGGCAGGTTTTTTGCGAAAATAACAATATTTGCCATAAAAAAGTTAAAAAAAACAAAAGGTCCTTAAATATTAATTTTGGCGGCGTTGAAAATATTAATTTTGGCGGCGTTTGTCGACACTGTTGAAAATGGTCTAGAATAATATTAGAGTATATATATATATATATATATATATATATATATATATATATATATATATATATATATATATATATATATATATATATATATATATATATATATATAATAATAATAATAATAATAATAATAATAATATATTTTAGGATTCAGGATCTACAAAACTTACAGTGGCTTGGTATATTAATGGACAGATTTTTTTGTTTATACAGTTGCATTGTTTTATTATATATATATATATATATATATATATATATATATATATATATATATATATATATATATATATATATATATATATTATTTATTTAATTATATAAAATGAACAAAAACAACTTTCTATGGAACTCTGCGTTTCATGTCTGTCGACAATCATCAGCCATTGTGTATGATTCATAACATAAAAACCATTTCAAAAATTAAAATTAAAATAACATTGGAGCGAGTTCTGATATTATAAAAATAAAACAAAAACAGATTTTAGTTTAAATTTTTTAGTCACCGATGTAGAATAAGGAAAAAAAAAATTTATTTGAATGCTGGCACTTTGATATTATTTCATTTCTTTTATTAAGCAAATTTATCCTCTGCCAATACTGCTCATGGAGATAAAGATTACTAACTTTTGATGCTTGATTGTAAGGCCTATATTGTACTATTATTTTCAATGTAATCAGAGGTTTTATATTTTTAAAATTTAGTTTAGTTATATTTCTTTAAAAAGTTCATTTTTATAATTTGATGCATTGGAAGATTTAAGATGGTTGGCATATCTTAACTTAAATGAAGTTTCACTTATATCAAAATAAACCTTATCTTTGAATTCAGGATCTCCAGAACTTACAGTGGCTTGGTATATTAATGGCCAGATATTTTTTTCTATGCAGTTGCATTGTTTTATATTTTCATTGCATTGTAAAATCTTGTTGTTTAGCGCATTTTTAAAGACTTAAATGTTCTTAGCTTTAATTGACTTACACTTAAATTGTACATGACAGCAGGACAAAAAAAATGTTGAACTTACTCGCTACCAGTAACAGAGCAACCATGGTGATCCTAAACCTAACATAACCTGAGTGAGTATAATAAATTTATGACGTAGTAATAATGACATAATAAAAATGACATAAGTCAAATTGCAATTGTGCAATTTTAGTTACCTTGAGTAACCCACTTTTTTATAATAATTAGCAAATGAAAAGTTTTTTTAAGTGTGAAGTAAAATTTATTATGTCATTATTACTACATAATAATGACATAATAAATAATAAATCATTGTGACATAATAATAATAATCATTTTTTGCAATTATTTTTGAGGTAGATGTTAGATAATGTTTGCATTTTATTAATCAAAATACTAATATATTAGGGCTCAAGGTTTAATGCTTTAAATCAGATAATTAAAGAATTTAATTTGTGAAAGAATGAAACTTGTGAAATAAATTGAATAAAAATACTGTTTGTTGAATATTCAAAGAACATAAATAATAATAGATATAAAATATAACCTAATATTTTATATCTATTATTTATTTGTTAAATAAATAATAGATATAAAATATAACCAGATCACAGTGGGCCAAACAGCTGTTTTCAAAAAGATTGGTTTATAACTTTTGAACGGAAAAGCTATGGGGTTGCTTAAGGACTTCATCATTAGATAAAATATTATTAGAGACATTTTGTTTATGAGAATATTTATCAGAATATCCTTATTAATACCAAAATTTGCATAAAAGTTTTGACTTCTATCTCTTGTCAAAAAAAATTTTATAAGATAATATTTGCATAGTCAATTTAACAAATATCAGTTAATGGTGTTTGTTAAACTGACATCAACAGAGTTTTTTTCATTGGAGTTTTTTTCTTGAGAGTCTAGTAAGGATCAATCTTAATATTTGCTATTACCTTTTAAGCCTGAATCATAAAGATTTCCCAAACCACTTTCCTCATTATTCGAAATTAGCTCTCAAGAATGACCAATCAATTTGTAAAGTGATGGTATTACAATGATAACAGGTGGAAACTCATTAAATAGGAATAAATAAAAATCTGTGCAATAGCTTTTATATTGATCTACATAAATTTTTCTTTTTGAGGAAAATACTTAAAGAATTACTGAGAGCATCATTTCAAACTTTTGAAATGTTGCATGATATTAAACAGGCAACTGTGCAATAATTAAATCCCAGTTTGATTTTTTGTGCAATAGCTCAAAAAATCAAACTGATGTGCACCAGCTTTCACATGTACAGCAGTCTTCATGAAATGGTTAAATGTACCCATTAAAGCATGAAGAATCTATAAAAATATCAGTAATTTTTAAATGTAATAATTTTTAATATCAAGAATGTCCACATATTAAAAATATAGAATAATATAAACACTATTACAAGATACCAATTTACTTGTATTGGCTTTACATCACAGGTTGGAGTTGGTTTAAAGATTTGTCTGGCATTTGTGATATAATCAGGTTTTTTTAAGTAAAAAATTGTTTTCTTGTTAAAGTTGGTTAAATAATTCATTCATAGTTATAGTGCTCAATTGATTATAAAACAATTTTCAATTCTTTCAATATTCAAACACTGATCTATTGAGCATAGGTACAGATCACAATATGCACCTCCAACTCCTAAAAAAAGATTCGCTGTTTTCATACCCATCATATATGACTGCACTATCACCTTTATATAAAATTGTTTTTCCTCTTTATACATAAGGAAACCTTTTTTTTTTTAACTCTTCAATGCCAGAAATAAAGACAGACAAGGATTGAAGAGTTTCTCTTGATTCTTTTCCCATTTGAAGACTCAGCGCTTTGTGACTCAGTGGGGCATTTTGTGACTTTTGCAATCATATTAACAAACCTGCTTCTGTTTCAGGTGAAAATGGACATTGTCAGTATAATTTTGCTAGAGTTAATATTATCTTTTTAATTAAATATTGCATTGTTTCCACTACCATCAAATCCAAACTTTTTTTTCATTAGTATATTTTCAATGTTTATATCTAAAAAGATGTTCTCCAATATCCTTTGCATCGTCAGTTTAATAGCTTGAAATAGACTGAAGTAAACACCAGAATGAAGTTCAAGATAATTCATAATAATTACTGTTACTTCAGATTTGCTTTGTTTTGAGATGTTTCCAAATAAGCAATATATTAAAACCAGCAGTTGAGAAATTTTTTTTTTTGTATATGAATACCTACCAAGAGCACAATTTGTTTAAATTGACATTGTTTCTATTGGAAACTCATTGAAAGTGTTATTCTTTAACATACTCTTCAAACAAAGTTTTGTAAAAAGCCTTAAATTGTATGACAGCATAGTCTGTTTTTTTGTTTGTTTTTCTTTAGATGCAGATCTTTACCAGCTATTCTGAATTAATGTTTTTTGTGCAAATGTCAATTCATGAGAGACAAGTGTCTCTTTGCAATTATCAGTATACAACCTGTTATATTTTCAGAAATAGTTTTGGGTTGTTTGTTTTCCTCAGCAATAAAAATTTCAAATAAGTCAAATTCAGTGAGCATCATTGTTATTAAACTAAATCTATAAATATTTTTGTTGATTCATTATCTAATAATTTTTTAAACAAAATGATTTAAACTTAAAAAATATAACTCAAAATATAAACAAGTAAAAATTCAAAATATAAACATGATGAGTAAAAATATTATATTATTACTATATACACCATAAAACCCTCAGTTTTGATTTTAACTCTTGCAAAAACAAATTTTAATGCTGCAATATTTTTTTTTATTAATGGTTGTACTAACTAAATTAAATTTGGTCAAAAAAAAGTTTAATGAAAAAGAGGGTAAGGGGGTGGAGGTGTAGATCAAAAATTGGTCTTAATCCTTTTTTTACCTTCTAGACATATACTTTACTAAACGCATTTTCCCTTTATAAAAATATGTACAAAATAATGAAAAACTATTTGCATTAATATTTTTTAATATATTTTACAAAAACTTAAATTAAAGGGGTTCATTCTTTTACTATTTTTGTTTAAAAGTGTTAAGTTGGCAGAATTTAGTTAAAAGGCATCTTATCCCTTTTTGTTATAGGAGTTTAAAAATATATGGCTACATTTTTAAACTCCTATAGCACTAGTAATATACCCATATTAAAAATATATGGCTATATTACTAGTGCACTTTTTAAGATAAATTATTTTTTCTGATAAAAAATTAGTTAAAAAATATTAAAATTTTGCTAAATTTTAGTTGTTTCATTAGGCATAACATGTAAAAAATCTTTTTTTGCAATAATCTATGAAGTTAACATTCACATTTTTATAAACTGCAGTCATAGATTGTATTTACATACAGTTATCACATAAGCACTGCTTATATAGTGACATTTTTTCTTATATAATGCTAAAAATGACTTTTAAGTATTATTTATATCTATTACTTATCTTTTGCAACGAATTTACGGTATTCAAACTAGTATATTTTTTGAACAAATCATGCTTTTGAATTAATTTTTTTTAATGAACTCGAAATTTATTTGGCTTTCAATAACAACTAACTTATATTTATGTTGGTAACAATAACTTTTGAGCAATGTTCTATGTTTGGCCCACTGTGCAGATGTAAACCAGACCAAAAATAGTTTAAGGTTGGCAAATAATTTCCAACTTATACTATTTTTTGCCCACTTTATTTTAGTTAATTTTGAGGGCTATATATATATATATATATATATATATATATATATATATATATATATATATATATATATATATATATATATATATACTAAAGTGTATTTTTATAAGCATTTGCTTACTTTTTTTGCTTACTTTAACCCATACGGCTTTTTGAGAAAAAAGAAAAAAAAAAAGAAGAATGATGAATGAAACGATTGCTGCCCTATCCCAAACCCTCAGTCGATGTAGCAGCACTCCACTGCGAGTCAGGCTATTTGTTAGTTGATGTATGTACTGAAGCACCCAGCAGCAGGCTAATTCCGTATGACGTCAGATTGCTTACCTTAAAAGAAGTAGATCTTAAGGTCTTTTAAACAGCCATTTTCACAATTTAAAATGTTTTGTTTAGATTTTGAACAATGCACACATTATATTTTAATGGCCTCACAAACTTTTCTTGTGTAGTTGTTTGAAACAACAGAAAGCGTTTTAGGGTTCTTCTAGTTTATTTTACCATTACAATGCTGTGAATGTTCTACTACTCCAGGTGTATTCCAGTCGGCTTTTGTAACATTTTTATGTTGTTGAATTCGTGTGGAAATCTTATTTCTTTTTTTCATCAAGATAACATGCACCACATGGGCAATCAAGTTGGTACACTCCTGGATGACTATTCAGAGGCAGTTTAGACTTACGGCAAAGTATATTGATCAAGAAATTACCAAAACAAAAGACTGTTTTAACAGAAGTCTAAAACACTTTCTGTTATTTCAATATATATATATATATATATATATATATATATATATATATATATATATATATATATATATATATATATATATATATATATATATATATATATATATATATATATACACACACGTTAAAACAATATCAAGATATTTTAAAAAAAATTTTTATAATTTTAGTTTTTTTCTTTTTTTAAATTTTTTAAATTAAAAAATAAAAACTATAAATATATTTGTCCTAAAAAAAAACTATTATAGAGACTTACTTTTGAAAGTGATTTAATGGCACGCACAGCATCTCGTCTGTCATCTAATAATGTTGCTGAAGATATGCGATCTACAAGCCTATCAACCTTTAAAAAATAGATTTGTATGCATTAACTATAATATTCATTGTATAAACAATGCACTTAAAAAAAGGTGTAAGAGATTATTATTATTAATATTAAAGAAACTCTATTTAGTATCTATTCATTTTTTTTTTCAATTAATCACCTTTCTAAGTCCTAGGGATGTGAATAAATAAAAAACCACAGCCCACTATAGTTGAGGAGGATACATTTAGTATGTAATTTTAATAGATTCTAGATAACATTGAATTACAAGAAGCATAAACATATTATAAAATAATTATTGTCGTTTTTCTTCCTTTTCTGAAAAAGTTTCAACAATAAAATTATTTATTTTAAAAATTTGCATAAAATATGCTAATATTAAGTTCAGCCCTCAGAATTAGAAAAAATGAGACTTCACCATAACGAGATCGACAAAAACTGCTGACTTGAGACAATTTAGGTCAGCAGTTAGGCCAGCATTGTCAAGGGCCTGCCTTAATTCTGAGGGCATGTACCAATAATTTTCCAAATTATGTTTTCCAAATTATGTTGTATGTAATACATCACTGTTATGAATGAATGTACTGAATCACTTGCAGTCATCAGCAGAGACTGCATTAAATATATCAGCTAAGGGTTTAGGGAAAGTCTAGATATTAAGAAAAATATTTATTTTTGTTTTTTAGATTGCTATTCTTTTTTTCTTCCTATTTTGTGTCTTCTTATTTCTACCAAAATGTAAAATAATAAGCAACTCTCTTTTTACTGAAATAGTAAACAAAAAAAACCTTGAACTCAGTATAGAAAAAAGTTGTTATTATCTTTTCTTTTTTAATAAAAATCATTATGTGACAGTTGTTTACTTAAATATAAATTTATGCCAAAATTATTTATAATATAAATTTATATAAATTTATATATAATATAAATTTATATAAATTTATATATAATATAAATTTATATAAATTTATATTATAAATTTTGTCTAATTTTATAAAATAAATTTATGCACTAAATTAATTCACTTTTAGAACCATCAGTTTTAGAAATTCATATATATTTTTTTAACATAATCAATGCCTGCAGATAAGTGTATCAAGTTATTGATCAACAGCTTGCAAAAGATAAAATTGACATTCCAAAAACTATTGTGTTTATAATGTGTTTATAATGGAAAGATGGCAAAAAAATAGGAGACTATTAACAGTAAATATGTACCTCCTCGACCTATAATGCGCAACTTACTTTCATTGAAGTAAAAAAATCGGAAAACAGAAAAACAAAAAGATTATTTAATTAACAATCTTTAATTTTTCTAATTCTTTAAATTATAATACTGATAGTAATTACATTATCTAAAAAAAATTAAAAAGAATAAAGGTAAGAAAATGTAATAAAACATAATAAGGAAAAGATTCAAAATAACAATGATATATTCATCAGTTTCAAAGTATCAAGGAAAATTTATTTAAGAAAAAAACTTTTTACTGCTTTCAAAACTAAAGGCAACTTTAGATTCACAAAGGAACACACTCTCAATATACAGCTACTATACCATATCTTTAATCCAACTAGTGGTTTCAAAACTAATGTTAATTAAAATCAATTATAATGTCATTTCTCTGTGCACTCTGATAGTAGATAACATAGTAGGATATGCTATATATTTTTGTGTTTAATTCCCATCTACGCTATGGTTTTCAGATTTATAAAAAAAACTTATTTATCTCCAGAATAAATCATTAAGAATAATTTATTTTCAACCAAACAGTGTTAGTTCTGCCATACTATTTAATCTTTCTAATATTTTAAAGCTTGACAAACTTAAATATTTATTAAACTGTGTACTTGTATGGGACATTATCCATAATAAAATGTCCAGCTGCTTCACTAGCTACTTTAAATTCACAAATGATATCTCTATGCCTTTAAAACAAACACATAAGTATGACATTAGGTCAATCAAGTATCAATCAATTTACTATTGATATTCTTTTCCTGTTGAAACTTAAAAAAATTATTCTCCAAAATGAAAAATAAAAATGCTTTCATTACCCACGTAAAAAAGTTTATCCTTAATAAAAATAATCAATGAACTATCATTTACCTTTTAGTTATTCTCTATAACTAAATTTTTTAACAAAATAAAAGTATAAAACTGATAAGTATAAATATAAAACTCATAAATTATAAATAATAATATAATATTTTAAAAAACTAAAAAATATATATATACACACACACACTGTGTTATTATTATTATTATTATTATTATTATTATTATTATTATTATTATTATTATTATTATTACCATTATTATTATTAATATAATGATGCTATATTTTATACCATCATAGGTCTCTACACATCATCGGTTTATAACTGTTTGTAAATGTTTCGCATGATTGTATATTTATGCAGTATTATTTAAGTGAAAATATATTGATTTGATTTTGATTTTCAAATAAAAATTTTAAACTTTTTTTTATGTTTTGTAATTTTCAACTTAAAACCATGATATTTGAGTTGAAAGATTTATTTTATATGTAAATAAATGGCTGAATAAATAATATTTTAATTTAATGTATTCTATATTCATATATGCTTGAGGTCAGTCTTATATTAGGCATGCTAACAAATCAATTGCAGTAAATCTTTATCTTTCAAACATTTAAAAAAGATCATAACAATTAGAATTAGATCTTAACAACTATCAATCAATCTCGATAACACTGATTTGTTGTTGGATTATGGAAAAAAAGAATTTTTTTATTAATTGTTTCAACTATTTAAAGTTATAAGTTTATTATCCATTCAAATTCACAAAGTTTTTGTATATATATATATATATATATATATATATATATATATATATATATATATATATATATATATATATATATATATATATATATATATATATATATATATATATATATATATATATATATATATATATATATATATATTTAGATTGTTCAATAGAACTTTTTGCTTATGAAATAAGGTTATATGACTTTAACCCAAATACAAATCATAGCTATAATTTAACTGTTGCTTTTGATAGAGCTATTAATAAAGTATTCTAGTATGATCACTAACTATCTCTATAAGACTAATTTCAGAATACTGCTCTCAAGTTAGGTTGTCATACCTAATTGGATTAAATTAGTTAACTTTAACTTTGAAATTCTGCATAATTTGGTTTTTACCAAAAATTGTATGCTTTAGCAATTAATAATACTACCCATATACATATGATATAAACAGTCTACTAATAATGCATATTTAAGTAATTTACAGTTTCAGCTCCAGATGGACCTTCGTTTTCAACTTTACCAAGAACTGATTTAAATCCACGTGATAAATATTCCATTTTTTTAATATTCACTAAACTGAATGAAAAATATTGTTATACTTTTATGATTTTAATATTCTTTATATAAATTATTGCTTACTTCAGTTACATTATTAAACTATTGCAAATTTTTTAATACTATTTGATACTTACTCATTATTAAAAAATCATAAATTTATAAAATCTCACTAACAATTAAAGTTAGTGAGATTTTATAAATTTATAATTTTAACAAAGGAGCATTTATAAAATCTCACTAACAAAGTTAGTGAGATTTTATAAATGCTCCTCTAAGAAAGAAGTTTTTCTACGAAATTAAGTAACCTTCTTTTTTTACAATCCTAATCAGAACACATAAATAGTGTAAATTTTTAAAAGTATTTATGAAATTGAAAAAAATAAAATAAATTCGTAATACTTAAGTACCAGTTGCTAAATATTAGTTTTAACAAACCTCCTGTTTATGAAAATAAACCTATGATAAAAATTTAAATTTTTCAAAAATTAGTCGCAATTATTTTTTTATTTTTAAATGTTTTGTTTATTTCTTTTATTTCTATGTTTACTTCTTATGTTATTTTATAAACAATTAACTTGGTTGCTATATTATTGTTCTATTTTTTTTTAATTGTGCATTATAATTTTTTTTTTTAAATAAATAAAAAAAAAAACTTAAACAAAAGTATACACAAATAATACAAGACCAAAACCAAATCAGTACTAGAATAAGCAAGAAAAGAGTTTTATATTTTAATACGTAAGATTTTAAAAAACGAGCAATTTGTTTCACTCATATCAAAATTGTTGTCAGAGAGTAATAACAAACAATAAATAAACACTTTATTAAATCATTTAAAAGAATCCAAAAAATATATATGTAAATACGTATGTATTCTGGAAATTGAACTTATGTTACATTTTTATTTTATATTGGTTTGCATAATTATATATTTTTCTTCAAAATAAAAAGCTTGTAATAAAAGAAAAAAAAATGTTGAAAATGAAATCTTTATATAAACACGTTAAAATGATGGCCATTATGATTGTTTTGATTCAAACAACGTATAAAGTCGACTACGAACGCTCGAGGAAGTACTCTCAAAATAGTACCGGAAAATGTGTGGACACGTATATACGTGTACATTTATACTGTGCAGTTGATCCACCTTTAAGCACATACGTATGTGCTCAAAGGTGGATCAATTGCACAGTTGGCAAGAGATGAGCAAAATCCTACGAAACCAACTTTTATATTGGAGTAATTATTTTTTTAAATGTAATCTAGAGACAGCCAGCACTCAAAAACTGATATAATTTTTTCCCTACTGTCATTTTCGAGTCCAGTATATCAATATTACCTCAAAAATGGAAGTATATTATTTTTTAAATATTGGTGAAAATGTAAAAAATCATATAATAATGAAATATAAGGTCAGCAAGACAATTTTTCAAAATTTTAATTTCTTAATGGTTTATATTAGTCCAGTTAAAGTCATATATTGGAATAAGAAGAAATATGAAAATTTATTTTTTATGCTTGCTTTTTTTTAAAGTGTTTTTCAATAAAAACCCTTAAAGTGCGCAACTTTTTTTTTTTTCGCACTTACTTTTACACAAGCAGAAAAACACAAGTGCACAAGTGATCTACTTTAAATTACACTCTCATATATAGATAAAAATTTACAACCAAATTTTCTAAGCTTAGCTGAGCGCATTAGGTGCTAGGCTTTTGATTATAAATAATATACAATTGTAGATTTTGCTTTAAAAAATTGAAGAAGAACTGTTTCAATCATTTAAATCTTTTTAAAATCTTTTTTAAATAGAAATTAATGTAAAAAAATTAAATAGAACTTTTAATGTAAAAAATTATGGAACATTTTATGAAGGAGGAGAGAATAAATAAGAATTTGAAGGTTTGGAACAAATAAATCCCCCCCCCCCTAATAAATACATCCCCTAAATTTTATGGGATACAGATTTTATATGGTCATAATTTTTGAACGCTGAGAGATAATACTATAAAACTTAAAGTTTATCGATGAGTATAAGTCTTGTTGAGAATAGTACAAAAAATATTTTATCAACTTGTTTGAAAAAATATTTTTGTACTTTTTTTTGATAAAATATATTTTGTACAAACTTTACGTTTGGGGGGGGGGGGGGGTGATAAAATTTTGGTGCTTACTTGTTCCTAGCCTCCAATCATTTTAATTTTTTGCTAAGCATCATTATTTGATACAAGTACTATAAATATACAAATGTTTGGAGTTTGCTCCATGTCTGGAAGTTAGCTATCTCAAGCACCAAAAAATACTGGATCCGTCACTGAAGAGAATATTTATTATTTGTATTTATGAAAGCAAAAAGTTTTTAGTTATGTATTTTATTATATATTTATTTATTAAAAAGAGTTTAGTTTAGTAAAATGAAATTAGTTTGTTTTCGAAAAAAAAGATTTTTAATTTTTTGTTGTGTTGAAAGCGAAAAAACTTCATCATTTAGTACTTTTAGTTTTAATGTCGTCTAAATAACTTTTCTAAAATGCCGTTTTCATCTAGAAAATTGTACTTTAAATGTTTCAAATGTGTTTTGTTTGTTTAAATAACGCCCATAAAATGGAAAAACAGTAATTCAATTATGAAAAATAGTCATTTCATGCACCCTAATATTAGTGTTTTAGACTTAAACAACAAAGAACACCACACAATGAAATTCTCCATGCCTCAAACAAATTATAATCTTATGATAAAAATGCTTTGCAGCTACGTTACTTAGGTACCCATAATAAAAAGTAATCAGGGAAAAGTCAAAGACTCCAATTAACCTGTTGAGACCAAGGGGCTCATGATGTACCATGTATGATGTAGTAACATTTACGTTGGAGTGATCATATAAAAAGCATTAAGAAAAAAGTATCAAAAAATACTGCCATGATATGTAGGGCTAAACCATTTCTAAATAATAAATCTTTAAAAAGTCTATATTTTTCTTTCGTTCATTGTTATTTTCATTTTATTGTAATATTACATGGGCAAGTACAAATCATACAAAATTGTACAGTAAACAAAAATATGCGTGTAAAATATTATTTGGATAATATTTTACACGCTGATAAAAATGTACCATACAAACCTCTTCTGGATTATACTTGGCGCATTAAACATTTATAAAATTAACTTACACCAAGTTTTAATGTTCATGTATAAAATAAAGATTAGACTAAATTTCCTAAAATATTTCAGTTCTATTTTGAAAAAGTATTCCATAAATATCCGACAAATTTTTTCTTATAATAACTACGTTGTCTCAAAATATAACCCAAAAGAAATTACATATTCAATTCAATATCCTGGAACTTGTTGTGGAAAAAGTTTCCTAATATTGCAAATACGAAATAAGTTACTATACAACAGTTTAAAAATGAATCGAAACAGGTGTTATTACTTATGGATTTTAACACATTCAATTTTAAATGCTTCTTTTAAACTTAAATTCAATTATATAAAATAAGTCTCACAATGTATCAACTTTTTATCATTAATTCAGTTATGGTGTTTCCTCTAGTCATATAGGTTATTGTTGAAATCAAATCTGAGTTCTTGAATATTTTTTCTTTTTTTAACTATCAATGAATTGTTATTTATTTTACTTTTATACAAATTGGTTTTAAAATATATAGATAAATATTACGGTTTTTATAAATTAAGTATTCTTTTATATTTAGTTGTTCGTTCTTTATTAAAGTATTACTTTATTACAAACTGTTATACATTTTATTTTTATATTTTTCAATAAATACTTTATATAATATACGTGTATAGTATGGTTCTTGTATATACGTGCTCTTTAATTTTTTTATTTTTTGTTTTTCTTTTTTTCTTTATTTTCGATTTTACTTGTTTACTTGATTATTTCTCTTAACATAAATATTGTTCTTAAAGTATTTCTTAAACTAATTGGTATTTATTTTTAAATTTATAATTTTCAATAAATAACTTGTTAAGTATAAATATATTATACGGTTATTGTAAATACGAACTATTGGGGCTCGGTGAGACAAAATAATGTCTTCTACTTGCCCCGCCAGTGTTTTTAATTGTAAATTTTTAAATTTTAAAAGATATTAAATAAAGATGTAAAAAATAAATAGAATCACAAACTATCTTGACATCCCACGACCACACCTAAACGCAATTACATATATTTAGACATACAACATGTCTCATCTAATTGAAAAACATTGAGACATCCTTGACTACTACTACTAAAATGACCATTTGAGCGGTCATGACCACTTCTAAAGACCAAGTATGCCCAGATTTGAATTCCCTGACAGCAGTTACTTATATTTAGATATACAACATGTCCAATCTAATTTAAAAACCATCGAGATACCGCTATATTTAATTTAAAAAGAAAATCTAAAAATTTTTGCTTTTAGGTTTATGCTGATAATATAAATGTATTTATGCTGTTACTGAGGTTAAAAGAGGTTCTTTCCAAGTATTAAAAACTTGCGGAATAAGAAAAAACATGCAAAATAGAAGGAATTATTATCATTTAATCATAAAAGTTTCGAATTATTTTATTTAAAAATAAATTTCATAGTTATAGCTATTTATTTATTCGCTATCGGATAAACGGCTATCGTCTTCTATATCAACGCAATATAATTGTCGATATGTTCAGTCGAAATGTCAATTAGTTCAGGTAAAACCTCTTTATTAATATCCTTACCTCTTGTGGAATTTTCAATCAGTGAAAGTTGCAACACCTCTTCTGGTATACTGATTAGATAGAGACTTCAAACGGCTTTTCAAAATAATACTGGAAATATAAGAATCTGATTTTTCTAAACCTCGACAAAAGAACTTGAGTTCAGTTGTTTATTTTTGAGAATTTTCCCGGACGATCAATACGATCTTTTCTATGGCATTTGTAAAGACTTTCTCCAGCATTTTTGCCAAAAGTTCTAACTGGCAAAATTAATTCAACCATGTTTTGAGCTCAAGTTTTATACCATGAATATTTCTTATTGGTAAT